ATTCCCATCATTGGGGGCCCGTGCATATGATAGGTTTGAGGGGAGAATTTGTTCTATTCGAATGGTAAGAGGCAGATTTCCAGACCGGGCTAACCAATACTGGAGTAGAGAGGGAAAGAGCGGCTTAAGTGGCTGGACGAGTGCTCCGGGAAGCTCGACCTTGATGCGCGACCAGATCCCTGGCGTTGAATGTGCAACGTCTCGCCAATGGCGGCACACCCGAGTGAAGAGTAGGGGCGGGCTAGCGAAATTTGCTGACATGGTGGTTGTCCCAGTTGAGAAGATACTAGGACAATTTGGTGTGTCGTTGACGAGGAGTAAAAATACCGCCTGTAGAAGTTCTACTGGCAGCCGATGCATAATGGCTGGATATGTCACTAGTCCAGAGTCAGATCAGTTGCCAGATTGATACGAGAGACGTTTGAAGGAGCGAATGATGGCGCATCGACCGACACTTTCGCTTGATCAGACGGAAGTCACTTTACAGAAATTCAAGAATCAGAATAGATCGATCTCCTGCCTGGCAGTGTTTAATCACGTGACTACGGATATCCATCGGTACTTAGATACCTGTGAGCGTAGATGGCCAAATGAAATATTCATATTCATATTCGCATTGTCACAAAGGTGGTTCCACGACAGATCAATGTGGATCACCCATCTGCTTCAGATAAACCAGCACATCTCGTGTTGTGCTTTTCAAGGCCAACACAGGATCCTGGCTGGGCGGGCAAGAACACTAGCTTGAGATGTTTCAGAGAAACTCAAATTCATGGACAGCATCAAGATGCGCGAAAGTTTTGACGGAGTAGCATAGTGCTGGATGTGATGATGCATGGCGGCATGAAATATGTGAAAAAGGACTACACAGGACCTTCTGGCAACAGCTCTTACTCTGCGTCTACAACAGCGGTTTGGAGGTTCTAGGTAAAAAAAAAAGGTTGTTGTCGAGGACAGGAGGAATAGCAGAGAGACATTACACACCTTGAACGAGGTCACAACTACGTGGCTGGCATACGTGTAAAGCTTCTCCTTTGCGCCCTCCTCATCATTACGCTTGCCTGTAAAAATAAACCGTCGGTATTATAATCAGTTTGAAAATACAGCACGTACGCTCAAGTTTTACTCTTATCCGGTGGGGGACGCTCTTGACACCCCGAGCCCACAATGCCTGATTGAGCTTGGGGTCCAAGCGAACATCGGTTGTGCCCATCGACTTGCGGGCGAAATCGACGACGGATTTTACGGCCCAAGGGGCACGCTTTTTGAAGGAGCGGCCATGCACAAGCTTGTGGAGATGGATGGTGTATTCACGAGTTACAACGTCTTGAAGAGCGGAGCGCTTGCCGCCAGTCTATGATAAGATGTAAAGATCTATCACGGGTGAAGGTCGTGATACAACATACTTTGCCGCTTTTTGTCCTGGCCTACATAGGGTTGGAATCAGTTTATTTGAATGGTAGAGCAAGGATGTAACTTACCATGTCTTGAGGATGTATAGTGTGACGAGCTCGTCTAACTGGAACTGCAGATGTCGCGCTAACTTTGGTTGTGTTTGGCTACTGTAGTGATGACATAAGGTTTGAGTGGCTGAGGTACTTGATAGTTTTTCGGTTATACCCGAAACACGTGATATGTACAACAATGCGGAACCAAATATTGGTTTAGCGCTAAAAATAGGACAAGCATTATCCTTGCAAGTTCCTTTGTCTGTTTTATCGCCATGCATGTACATTATTCTGTAGCTTTATATAAGGTCTTTTCGACTTCTCCTTGTTCATCTTGTCTTTTTCCTTCATACTCTTTCACTTAATCACAATGCGCTTTGCTGTCATCGTTCTTGCTCTCTCCTTCGTGGTCGAGTCTGCGTTTACGGCATTGCTCACACGTCAAAGCCTGCCCAGTATGTCTTATTGTTTCTTTGTCGTCTTACCACGGTATCTGATAGCTTTCTCATTGTCAGATTGCGCTGTTCCGTGTCTGACAGATGCTGACTTTGGCAACTGTTCTTCCACGGACGATAGTTGCCTTTGTCACAGCCAGGTTTTCGTCAACAGCACCACGTCCTGTATTCAGGCATCGTGTACGGGGTCTGACCTCACAAATGCCGAAGCCGCTTCCCAATCGCTTTGTGCTGCAGTGGTATGTTGTAGATATCCTTGTCTCTTGAATGTGTGCTGAAGTGTATAATACAGGGCGTCACCTTGACTGTTAGCAGTGCTACTGCAACGGCTACCACATCATCCAACGGTACCGCTATCACGGCCAAGCCTCCGTCAGTTTTTCTTTCATCTCATTTTTCTGCGATTAAAACACTCAACGAAAACCAGGTCCACCAACGCTGCATCATCGCATAGCATTGACATACTCACTGGTGCAGCAGCCTTTGCCATCCTGGCTGCATCATTATAAAGTCATCTCACTATCATTATTCTTTCGCATTCTTTGCGCATTAGGACTTGATAGTCCTTGTCACGGCGTTTCGAAGGTTGACGTTGAGCATTAACTCACTTGCCTGATTGATTTCTTGCATACGATTCGATTAGAGGAGGGATTTATGGGGTTATATAGCCATCTTATCGTAGTTGAACTTCGTCATTCATAGATCCACTTGGACGCCATGTTAGGCAATTTATTTGAATTTGTGTGCACAAGCGCCCGAGTCTTACTCGCCTCCGACTCAATTTGAAGTTGAACTTGCGTACTTCAGACCGTCATCGATTCGTCACTCACCAAGCTCCAAGGTTGGCCTTCTTCTGCAGATCACAAGAAATTGCCGCCAAGCCTACGCCCCTTTCATGGGCTGCATCGACTATTAAGCCTCCATCTGATATTCCAGGGTCGCACTTCACCATCTACCTCCTACATCCACCATGCAACCAAACACATCTTGGTTAAAAGGAGTGCCAACTCCTTTGGTACTCGTAGTTGGGCTGTTACTGGGCTTGCTAATTGGCAAGACACTTCCAACGAGCGTATGTCTGTCTATACTTTGACCGTCTTACTATCATGACAAGGTTTGATTGTTTTGTAGCTCTTGTCAGCAGGCGGGAACAACCCCATATTTGTGTCTCGCTTGTCCGCTCGCAAACAAATAACCCTTCCCAGCATTGATCAACGCCGTCGTGTCCTAGACCTGCTCTCCACGCTGTCCCCACACCATACCACAGAGTGCACACGAAATTCCCAGCCGCTTTACGTTCAACAGGTCCGAGACCGTTATGATTCTCTCATAGGACACAAAACTCCTTCTGAATCCACCTGGTTCTCTTCTTGGGGATTTTCCGACTCGCAACACGTACACAACGTTCCAAAGAAAGAGCACAAATATTTCTTCGCCATCAACTTGTACAACTCCTTCGATGTCATTCCCGACTTATTTGCGACTCTTTTTCGGGTCTCTGCTATTTTAGGATATCACAACGTCTATGTCTCCATATACGAAAATGGTTCGACAGACCAGACGAAGGCGCTGCTACGGATATTCGACGCGCTGACTCGTAGCGTAGGCCTACGTGTCACCATTCGAACTTCTACACGTACACGAGGTGCCTTCAACCATCGTATAGAGTACCTTGCAGAGGTCCGCAACCAGGCCTTTAACCCACTCCACGAGCTCCGCGACTCGCATAACGAGTACTTCGACACCATCATATTTATGAATGATATCCTCCCATGCGTGGACGACCTGCTTGAGCTTATCTGGCAGAGTCGGCGGAATAATGCAGGTATAACTTGCGCTTCGGATTATATGTATCATCAAGAACTGGCAAGTCCCATCATTGCACTCACAGCCTGAGCTCATACCTACTTTTGTATATAGGCCTCCCCCGTGTTTTATGATAACTGGGTCGCTCGCGATATCAACGGAACAGCGCTGGAAAATGCTCCATTCGAAAGCGTCTTCCATGATCCCTACTCCTCCGAACGTTTCCAAATGCACCTTCCCATACAGGTTCAGTCGTGTTGGAATGGCGTTGCAGTCCTCGACTCTGCTCCATTTTATACACCCCCATATATCAAATTCCGCATGGCTCGACTCACAGACGATGAGTGTTCTGCTTCAGAGTGCAGTTTGATCTGCAATGATTACTGGGAGGCTGGATATGGACGTATTTTGATGGTGCCGCGGGTGAAGCTTGCGTATGATAAAGTATGTTTTCGGTTGAAATGGAATTCGATATCTGATTGACTGATTGATTCTTTTTGCAGAGAGTATTTGATATCATACATCCTTCAAGACGGAATCTCACTGCCATCCGAGGTTATATGCGTCTTGGGGGACTTCCAGACAATCCACGGACAGACCCACAGGACCGGTCGTGGTTTGGTCCTCATGACCGTTTGTTCACGCCGGAGGAAAGCGAAGAGATAGATTTTGTGCCCGGGCCTTCGCATGGTACGTCCTAACTCTCTATATTCTATTCCTTGACTCATGAGTCATACAGTATGGTGTTGGGGCTGGGACGGCGCAGGTGATATAGATGGTCCCGATGTAGATCCCATCTGGGAGCGCATGCCCGACCGTGCGCAGAATGCAGATTCTGTGAAGGTGAAGCATCAGAGGGAGATGACCGAGCTATGATGCGTTCGGACATTCGGACATGACATGGACAAACATCTGGATAACATAATTTGTTAATTGCGTCGAGCTTATTTGGTTTACATGTATCCCTACGGAGGCATGTGCGTAGCGCTAGAGACGCAATACGATTCTGTGGAATTTCGAAGGTGCCTCCTCTCCACTGCAGTTGGCTTACTACGACTTTTCCTGATACACCAGACGTCACCCATAAGATTAGCTTCAGTCAATGTTCAGTCATTGTGGTGATTGAAAGAATGAGTGATCCAGGAGTGTGGCTCGATCACGCGTACCTTTATAGTCACCTCATCGTCAGACGGCGAACTGGTGGGCACGCAAGGCAGATTCCAGCAAATATTCATGGCAGGGGAGAGAGAGTAATCTGTTCGTGATGTTATACAAGCTTCCGTGTCGTAAAGGGCACTTGGCACAGTTGGTAGCGCGCACGCTTCGCACTACTAGATTGCGTGAGGTCGTGGGTTCAACTCCCACAGTGTCCATTATTTTATCTTTCGTTCCTAACAACCTAAACGCGGAGTTAAGCAATATTGACTCTTTGCTTCATATTTCGGCAGCCTATACGGTATTTTTTCTCTTTTGTCTCAAAGGTTTTATGCAACGACGCTCAGGCTCTGGAAAGGCACGCATCTCCCCTCCCAATCCACACCGATTGACGGGCATGGGTCCAGATCCTGCTAAACGCGCTAACATGTGGAATATGTGGAATCAAAGGCGGCTAGGCGTCAACAATAGAATATGGGCCATCATCCTCGGGTTCATCCTACTCGTCATGGTATCGCGGTATATATCCTCTTCAAACCGTACGCGCGCTGGGTCATTTACGACAGAAGGCCTCGTACCAAAGAATTACTTGCATGATGCAAACTACCTTATCGGCAATTCATCCGAGGCTGCAAACCCATTTGATTTTTGTCCTGTGTTTGGGCCCAAGGATGAAATTGCGAATAAGTATGGGGTGGTTCCGTTGGCGCAGAGTCGGTTGCATTTGGGGAGTGGGGGGAGGGTACATCGGGTTATTCATAAAGCGCTTTTGGGTCAACCTGTGACTATCAGTGTGCTTGGTGGTTCTGGTGCGTGTTCTTTATCTCGTAAAAGAACTTATCTTGATAGTGCAATTGTGTAGTGTCTGCATGTCATGCAGCAGGAGATGATCCATTGTCTTCTACCTGCTATCCTTCACGCTTTTTCCAGTGGTGGTCGAGCGTTTTCCCTCACCCGGCTTCAGAGCTTACCAACGGTGCTATGAGGCGGACAAACTCAGGGTATTTTGGATTCTGTAGCTCGCATCATATCCCTGAGAACACCGACTTGGTGATACTCGAATTTGACGTCGACGATGAAGGGTAAGCACAGATTGCCAGCTGAAATGTTATGTGGTGTCTAAATTCTACCAGCACCCGGCGTGCGATGGAACAATTCGAGTTACTGGTTCGCTCAATATTGGACCGCCCTGATCAACCTGCAGTCATCATTCTGGGGCATTTTAGTGCACAGATACACCAGGCATATGGATTTGCAGGACCTGACCACTGGCACAATGTTGTTGCCCAATTCTATGACGTGCCGCATATCAGGTACAATTTCGTCACTTGCCAAATGAATATTTTCTGACGCACATGTAAAGCGTCAAACCCATACTATATCCGTCTTACATGTCAAATCCTGACCTCATCAAGCCTTACTTTGCGGACCCCATCCTTGCGACTCCGACAGGTCATGAACTTCTCACCGACGTTCTCGTATCATACTTCCAATCTCAGATATGTGCCGCGTGGTCAACGGCGGGTGGCCATTCGTACGAGACCATTCCTATCATGATGTCACATGGCTACCTCCCAGGTGCAGATACGCATCTCTTTGGTGGTATCGGCGCAAGGAAAGGTGCTGCGGTGCCTGAACCACCACGCCCTGTAGACGACGGTGCAGAAGCCGCGAAGAGACACGCGCTAGCTCTTACCCAAGCAGAATCTCAGCCTGTACCAATCTACCCCGAACTGCGAATTCCTCCTGTTCGAATTAATACGCGCCCCAGAGAGTCGCGGCCATTCGAAGAAGTTGCGCCGTTTTGCGCATCTGCTAATGACCTCGTGAACCCCGTACCTCCATCACTTTTCTACGGGTCTGGTTGGGCAGCTGCGCATCCTCCGACAGGGTCCTCTCCTTTGCTTACGACGGGATATTATTGGTATAGCACGCAGCCCACAAGCAGGTTGCGCGTACCTATCAAAGTAGGCGCTGGAGATGTCGGGATTTATTACTTGAAGGAGCCTATAAGCCAGATTGGGGAGGGAAGTGAGATTGAATGTTGGGTGGATGATAATTTTGCAGGTGGGATGATTATAGAAAATGCGGGAGACGTTACTGACGGGGTACCGACGTGAGTATCTTGTTTTATTTTCGTTTGTGCGGTCATTGATGGATCATCAAGTCTTGCGGTGATTGATCAATTTGTCACGAGAGGATCGCACTTTGTCGACTGTGTGGTGCTTGGAGACGAGGGGCAAAGTGTTCCTCCTTTCAAAATCATCGGCGTATTCGCGACGTAGGGTATCATCAAAAATGAGGCATAACAATGGACATATCTGTGGACGCTAATGCTGATATCACCATGTGGTAGCTATTAGCAGTTACTTATCATCGTAGACCTCAAGATGATTGTACTTTTGAATACTGACAATCCGGCTGACGAGCTTTCTTTATATATAACTAAGGAAATTACTGACGGGCCAGACTGCTTTGAATTCGTGTTTCTAACACGACAGTAAGTAGGGTGTCTATGTTCGAAGCCATGCCGTCTTCGCGATCTTCTTTAATCTCTTTTGTTCCTTGAACCGCTCCTGTAAAATTGAAATCAACACCCGATATGAACAGAATCGATATGTCGGATCTTACCAGATCTTTCTTCGTCGGACGTTTTCTCTTCTTGCCTTCTCCCTCGGCCTCGGCTTCAATCTCAGCCTTGTTGCGAGCATCGACATCCCTCTCCCAAGCACCAACGTCAAAGTAGAACTCGCTCATGCGCTTAGCACGCTCATACTCTGACAAGTGAGTAGGATCGCGACTATCCGCCTTCGCAAAAGCGCCAGTCCTCGCGTTGAACTTTGCGGTGTACATAAAATTGCTAGGAACACCAGACGAGGAAGCAAGCGACGGATCAAGATGGGCTAAGGATGGATCAATACCCTGCGCCATCGCGTTCGCTTGCAACGTCGCGTAGTGAGAGTCTATTGTTGTGGAAGGGCCAGATTGGGAGGTGGAAGACGAGGAAGGTTCTGATTCAGAGGTAGCGGGTTGAAGGGGGTTTACCCAAGTCGTTTCTTTGGTTTCTGAGTTGTAGAAATAATAGGTGTTGTGCTGAGGAGACCATATGGCTTGCCATGATCCCGCTGTTGGGAAGTGAGCATGAGCGTTTGTGGTGTCCTGGTCTGTATCTGAAGGTTCAGCAGACTCCTCTGGGGAGGTTGACTCGCCAGTGGACTCGGGTGTCACCTCCGTGCGCTGCTCGACCCGCTCTTCATCTTTCTCCTCCGTAGGACTAACTGAACGGGAAGCCGACATGAGAGTTGGAGATTAAAGTTAGGTAAGAGTTAATAATATAATTATTATTTAGGGTACGTTGGCTATGTAACATCTTATCAATAAAATCAATAAATAATCTTTTATCACACCGCCATGTCTGAACAGCACACCCACATTCCAATCATGTGCTTACGCTCGGCACTAAAGCAGTCGTCGCAGCCGAACTCACCCTGTTTGCTCCCGCTATCCTCCACGCCGTCGTCGCCACTATTAACCCCTCTTCCTTCTTCGTTCCTCACCCCACCAGCATCCACATCGCGACTGCCACCCCTCTTGTCCTCTTCAGCATCGCTCTCGCGGTCCCCGTCAGTAAACATGCAGCAGAACACGGCTCAATCTGTCGCCGGACAAGGTTACACGCCAAAAGTGTCGTTCGACACGTTCGAAAACCCCGCTGCTTCCATGTTCTCATTTACGCTGCACGTGCAATCAGATGGATATGCTAGGAACAGAGCGACGAGGGTATTTCTTTGTGCGTCGAGTCCAGATGAGAGCGGGCGTTACGCCCTTGACTGGGCGCTGGAAAGTTTGGTGCAGGACGGGGATGAGTTGATCGTCTTCAGAGGTGTCGATCCAGAGGATTTAGGTAGGTGGCTCATTATCTGGACTTCTGCGAATGTTAAATCACAACTTAGAGAAGGATCATGATGTCGTTCGAGAAGAGGCCCGTGAACTTATGCGCCAGATTCAGGAGAAATGTATCGAGTACGATCCAGAGCGGAAGGTAGGTGGTCGCTATCATTACGGCATACCTTCTCATTGTGTTTGTCGTAGCTCTCTATCATCGTCGAGCTTATTGCTGGCAAAGTCACTACAACGCTCGAGCGGTTAATTGCCCTGTACCGCCCAGACTCAATAGTAGTGGGAACGAGGGGCCAGCGCGGCATGATGCAAGCATGGGGTGCAGCGTTCGGCGCGCCAGGTGTGGGCAGCGTGTCGAAGTATTGCCTCTCAAATTCCCCCGTGCCCATCATCGTCGTTCGCCCGGAGAGAAAGGTCAGGAAAGTACTTGCTAAGAGACGAGCTGATCCAAAGAGAGGCACCCATTTTGACGAGTAAGCAGACCTTCATATGCTGCCATGCGCCCGCTTACATGATCCCTCGAATTGCAGGCTTACGAGGGCGAAGACGCAGAATATACAGAGTATTCCTATGTCTCCCTCTGTCACACGAGTGTGATATATTTCATTTGTCTGTTTTTCTGTGACAGTTGTACACATTGACAGTGTACCTATAGTCACCCTGTATTTCTAATGCCTGAATGGAAGTCTGCCTTCTGCTCAACGTGTAGTACAACTCGATTTACCGCTGGAGATGCTATTCAGGTGATACTCAGTACCTAATGTGATTGCAGCGCCAAAACGCAAGTCGCCGACATTTTGACAGACAAAGTGGGACTACAATCGTATTGTGCACAAGGTAGGTAGAAATTTGCTTCAGCGATTTTGTGAGTAAATGACATCCATCTCATGAACTAGGCGCTAAGCACAGGCATGAGCTGCGACGTGCGTGACAAATGCGTAAAAGTACTTCGCTACTGATACTATCCTTGAGTGCCCCGAAGTTCCACCGTCCCTATGCGGGGCGTCCTGGTCCTCAGTCATACGATGCAGATCATCGTACGCTGTTTCATTTGTCAAGCTGCTCAGGGCGGTCTTTGTGGCCTCCTCACGGTTCACCGGTGCACCTTCAAACCTTGGTTTTGGAATGATGTGAGTGGCGGCGGGCTCTAGTACTGATTTCCCTCGGGCCTCGTAGCATACGCATACACTAGTCTATCTCACAGTCTATCCGCACCCAAAACACGCAAGCGCGACTTCCGTATTTCTCCTTCGCATGCAGGATCTCTTCCCCTCCCTTTCTTCCAACGAACGAAGATGTACCATATTCTTCATGACTA